CATCTTAATCAAGGGACCTTTCTTATTATTCACACACGTGCACAACGACTATATTTTTCTCTATGAAGACAGAAGGTACGAACTAACTGTAGCTGGATGCTCGATGTAAAGGCAGTCCCAATTACCTTGAACATTCCTAGTTACTCCGGTGTTTTATGAAAGAAACAAATAACTTTTCTGTTTGTAGCAAAAAGGGTTACCTCAACATAAAACCTCACCGGGACAGAGCTCGAGGCCATCATGTCGTATTTATTTAAATGCTGTCTCGTATTCTGTGCCAAAATGTGCATTAATTATTACGGTTCGGTCGTCCAAGGTAATAACCCTGTTCCGATCTGAATCAAGGGTCGGTAACCTAATCTAAATAGCATTTCAATCAACGTTAGAAAACAGATGCTCAATGCAAAGATGAGGCCTTTCGTATGCCCCAAGTATATAGGTGTATCCATGACAAGGGACTACACACTATATGTTGTTATGTGTGACACGGACTGTACTAGCAGTTCCAGCAGACGAGTTAAATTTGGTGAATGTTCTCAAATATCGTTTTGACTAGGAGGATTACGTTCAGTAATGGGTTAGAATTACAATCCCGAAAACCTATTTCAGTTCTCTAATACAAGGTGGGCAGGAGAGACTTGCGTGACGGAAACGAACGACATAAGTGCCAGCAGTCTTCACCGTATCACTAAGTAAAAAAGATTTTTGCCCAAGATGTGAAAAACCTCCAACGAGGTAGTACATCTCACATCCAGTCGTCGACGTTTTTGCTGATCTACAGTCGACACAGAACACCTTTAATATATGCTATACCTGAGAACATGGCTTCATACACACACTTCACATACACACGTACTTATTTGTGTGTAGGCTTTCAATACCTTTTTCATATAATAAGATGTCAAAAAGTCCAGTTCAGATGTATAGGGCAAGGCAACGTATCGTAGTTTAGAAAAAAAAAAAAAAACAGCAATTAGCGTATTTTCCCGAGTATTTTAATATCGTTACGGCGTTTGCATTGTTCGCGGTTCAATGATTGTTACAGCCGAGTTTGCCCGACAAACACCATTTTCAGCGTCACAAGCACAGGCCGACCCTCTCACTGCCAATACTAAAATATACGTACACACGCACATACACGCTTCGAGTTTTAATATTAGAGTATGGTAGATATGACTTTCGGTATTTCGTCAGCCTATGGGATTTAGGACAGATGTCAACTATGCGAATATTTGCATGTACTTATGCATGCATCCATATGCGTGCGCGCGTGCATAATTCGTAGAAATAGTCAAGAAGACGCGTACATTTACGCAAATAAATGACAGGCGTTCGTTGGAGAAAAGAAAATAAAAACGTATTAAAATTCTATTTCTGTGTTCTTGTGTTCCTCTACTTTCGCGCCTGTTTGTAATCGCATTTTTAGTTAACTGAATCTTTTCAGGCCATTTCAGATTGGCCCTCTGCTCGGTAGTATTCTGCAGAACACGTCCTTTTTTAGAGCAGAACACCATCTCCATCCTCTCGGGAAAACTGCTCGACTTCAGTTCCAGGTTGGACCTCATACTCAACTGTACTGCATTGTAGAATTACGAAGTATCTATGTGAAGTAGAGATACTGCGGTAAAAACATATCAACTTCGCTAGCCCCGTACGATTTTCGAAGTTCAAAATTACCTGAAGTACGAAAGCAGTGGTAGCAACAGCTTTAAATCTATCTACTCGAATGCGGAAAAGATCGAGGACGGGTACGAGACAGATTTTGTTTGCCCTTTGCTTAAAAAAATATAGTTATGATTGTGTACTTTTTTGCTGGCTTATAAAAGTGTTAGAGAATACAGGAAAGTTCCGTAAACTTCCACGTTTTCTAAATATAAAATGTTACCCTCTGAAGGGTGGTGGCACGATCTTTTCGGAAATGCTCTACTATATATAAATATATATTTATTTACAATGGGAGAAGGCACACTATCATCGGAGCGTAAGCTGCGGCATGGAAACCCGAGAACAAATGTTTCTCAATGCTGGAATTCTTGCGAAACCCTCGGGACGGTTTCATTCGAAGTTCGACTCAGGAGCGACCCAAACACTACTGACACCGCCTACAACGAGAATACGAATCAAGGGACGACAAGGAAAAATACGACAGGCATTGGCCTAGTATAAAGGCCTTATTGCAAGCTACTACCTACAAAAAAAGTATTCTACTTCCAACAGTGAAGAAAAAGCAAGCCAGAAACCTCTTGCCATTGCTCCCCCTTCTCCCCAAATGCATACAATATCTGACCTCGTTGTGTAGTCAAAGAAAAGAGTGTATCACCAGCCCATAGGAATACAGGGGCATTAGGTGAGGCGTGTGCCACTTTATAGAGCCATGAACTCGCTGCCCGCCGACGATGCCATGACACGACATAACTTCTATCCTGGCAATCACATATAAAGTACAAACACGGCCAGCCAACAGTCCATACCGCGTAACCGATACAAGATTATCATTCGAAAGACCACCGGTTATTCGATGGTTTTTAGTTGCGTATCATTATACGTATGATTTACTCGTAACAGTTCGACGTAGTACTGGAATACTTACTTTTTGTACATTCGTTGCCGAATTTACTGTTGAATTACTACAAAAGTATCAACAACGGTAATAACAGAATGAACAAAAAGGAAAAGAACGCACGGTTAAGGTAGTAGGGAGCTAGTTTGACAATCGAATACAATTCTGCTCGCTAAAGCTTTAGATAGATAGAAAAGTGTGTGATTTTTCTCAGTGTTCAGCTAACCATTCGCCAGGTACGTTTGCTTTTTCCTTTAGGCGGCATTACACAATGCTGCGAGAAAAACTGGAACTCACTTGAAACTTCTTGACGCTTTGCCCGTTCTAATTTAATCAATAAAATATTTGGATTCGTCTCTTTTGACAGCTAAACGGATTTACTCAAGAACCGCCCCCAAAAAAATGGACGCCATTGTGGTACACGTATAAGCGCGACAGCAACGTAGAAGTCATACCTTGTAGGAGTCTGTTTTCGTCCACACCAGCTAAATGGACCCCGATGTTCCCGATCCGGATTTTTAAAAAACGACCGTGACTACTAACCTATGAAAAATATTTTTCTAAACTTTTCTTGGCTGCAAACGCGCTGTTTGGCATGGCTACTTACGATTTACCATTTTGTTAGCTGAACAAGTGAGAAATGTGAACAGTCTTTCAGAGCTTACCAGCTTCTATAGAGTTTTCGATGAGATGGAAAATACTTCGAGCTGGCGGCAGCGAAACTAAGATCCTCAAGAATTGGCCATCCTTCTTCTTTTTCTTCCCTCAGAGTGAGTTGGGTTTTTGTATTGATATCATTGTCGCCTCATCCGTCAAACTTGCTATAAACCACTCTAATGGGGATGGTGTAGTTCCGGCACTGTCAATTTGATACCATTATAAGCTCGGTCCTTATGAATCCTTTAAGAATATTTAAGGCCGCGTAACCTGTTAATATTATTAGCTGGCTTCCTCTACCTGATTGATTAATAATTTTATTTAATATGTTTCGTTCGTCTGCTACGCTGTATATCATTCCAAACAAAAATCATAGCCATTCCGCTACGCAACGAACTAGCGCGATAAAAAGCTTTGCAAGGCTTATCCATATCGCGCAGAGCAAAGCTAATCCGCAAATGAAAGTGATGATTGAAGAAATATGTCATAAATCGATAAAATAATGAGATAAGAAGAAAACATTCGAATAGAAAAACGATAATTAAAGTAAAAAATCGATTTTTTGGTCATATTAAAAAGACAGCCATTTTTCCGATAAGACTATTCCGAAGTTTGGACGCAGTAGTGAGTACAAACCGTTATCGGTCGCACCGATGAAGTAAAAACTCGTGTATCAACATGACACTTTTTTATTATGGTCCATCTGTCGTCTCGATCCACATACATTAAGTAGATGTCAGTCGATAGCTGGCTTATCTAATCAACCTTCAGAGACGTGTTGATTCCTTCGTAGAGTCATTCTTTGTCGCTGAAGTCGATTTAGCCAAATTAAATTACGGACGTTGCTGAGATTTTGGCTGGAAAAGTCATCGACCCAGATTCGCAGGAGAAGACGAGCGCTACACAAAATATACTCGGTCACTTCGTTATCGCGGAATCCGACCTATATTTTCTTATAGCTTCTACAGATAATTATCAGAGCTGATTTAATTTGAAAGGTTTGAAGTGATACGGGCATGGAAGCTGGTCTACTGAGATGGTTGCTAGAGGAGTGTATAATCAAGGAGCAACTGTCACGTTCCTTCATTCAAAATATAATGTAGTAACTTGCGTTACTTAAAATTCCAAATTACATGCTGGGCAGTAATTGTCCTTGTTTGATTCGTTGTTTTCCTTTGTAAAGTTTGTGACTCACCATGTAATACAAGGTAGCTTAAAAAAAACTCCGTCCATAGCTCTGATAGAGGCTTCACAGCAAAATAACAGCTTTTGCCTAACAAGTCATGACTTTTTAAACCTCAGATTGCGGTCAGAGTGTCGCTAGCTCTGGTGGTTCCTGTGCACCGTGTGTACAGTGACGAATCGCTCTATTCCTTTCGCAACACACACGGCAGGGGCCGAGTGTGAAGAGTTCGAAAAATTCTTCTGTAAACCTGAAGACTTTGAACAGTGCGTGCAAGCAATACACAGGTCATTACTAAGCAAAGTCTAGCAGGAACGAAACCCACTGCGGTCCGTTGGTAGAAGTTCCTCGAAGCCTTTATTCGCAGAATTTACATTCCCTTTCTGATAGTCACCTGGATGTAGGCTAATACCTAGTTCTAAGAAGCCAGCGTTCTGAACTATATTTAGGTGTCAAGGTAGCATGCTATTGAAGTTGAGCAGTTACAAAATGAACAAGTTACAAAGTTATTTATTCAGATTCTATCGAGATTCTTGTTTCTATCGGTGTCTACGACATATTATTATCAGTGAGCAGTCCAGCATTACTGCAAAGCGATATTATGATGTTGTCTGACCGATCTTTTCTGCTTTTTTGTGGTGCATTGGTTAACGTGTCATTACTGCATAGGGTATATTGATTTCACACTAATAACATGCCGAGATTTTTACGTAAATGGCTAGATTTATTTTCATGTCTATTAATTTTTTTTATAGTCACCATTTTCACAACTAATATGCACTTATGTACACTATGTTATTCTATTAAGTGATATCACAGCTGTCAGGATAGACTAATAATTTCGTGATTTGCTGCCCCTCCTCCCCCCCGCGGGGTTTTCAAATGATGCCTTCCTTGTTGTAATAATTAAAACAGTTTTAATTAGTACAAAACGTCAATTGGAATTCATTCTTTTGTCATCCCGATTTTTCTACACAGACGAAGAAAATTAAAGAGGCGATTAGGTCTTCCCAAAATCATTCGAATTTTTGAGAAAGTTATAACCTATTTGTTACTGGTTGGTGTAAACTTACGTTTTTATTTCCACGTGTTACAAACTTATTTGTAAAAGCCACTAATTAATGAGATTCATAAACCTGTGTTTTACCTGAAATTTCATGAACATCATTACTGAGTTCTAGAATTATGATTGAACTTTTGCGCTCTCTATTTTGACACCATTTAAAACCAACCCGGTGTTTCTTAAAGAGAAGCGTTGGCGTCTTCGAGATCTCTAACATTGTTCTGTTTCACTATTGATTTCTTTATGTAGTATAAACACATTTTAGCTTCTAGAAACTGGGTTGCCCTTTTCGCTTGTTAGCAATGTTTTCCTCGTTATAGGATTCCTCAAATATTTCATACGTTATCACGGCCTCCATGGGCTGTCTCCGCTGATCGGATTAATTATATTCTTCTATTCGTCTATACTTTTGTACACATACAAACTTTTCTTATGCTTTCTATTTATTTATATTATAGATATAGAGGTATTTTTGATATACATTTACATTCATATTCAATTACATTTTATATTCGTTTCAGCCCTTTGCGTCATGCAGAAAGAAGCCATCTCCACACCAACGATCACCACGTGCCTCGCCTAAAATGACGAACTACCACTGACTTTTTCTGACGAAAGATGGGACCATTTTGCGTGGGATTTTGAGCGTGTTACACGAAGTTGACATTGGCGTGCTGACCGTTACCACTCAATAGGGCACGTTCCCCATCCAACGCCAAGCTACAACCTGTGATCTGCAATTGAAGTGTACAACCGCCCGTGCGCCCCTCTGACTGAACCTGGAATATTCTTGCTTTCTGAACAACATCACCAATCTGAGAGGCGTTATTGCCTCGTGGGCTTCTTGCGTGTGGTCCTGAGCTTGTGAACAAGCTGTTTGCCTCAACCAAATCAAAATCAGACTCCGACGTGGACATCGGTGAGACAGCTGGCATCGCAGATTTTGTTGATTTGGTCGTTTCTATACTGCTTGTCTTCAATGGCTGTTGGCAAGTTCTGGCTTGACCATGCCTATCGGCCACCATCGAGGATGATTCCGATCCGCTCGACGGCTGCGAAAGGGCAGGAACGAACCAACAGCAAAACATACATTGGAAAAAACCTGACAGAATTAGCTGTTTTCAACAAAATCCTCGTCTAAGGTGTTAGCTGGTGGCTTGCACTGAAGAAAGTTCTCAACGACAGCGCCTGGTCAGTTGACGCCGGAAAAAAACGTCAGCCATTAACGTCGGCAATCCATGTGCTCGACTGCATGTTTTCTCTCTTCTTAAATAGCTTACCTGGCACGCCGAACGACAGAATAGCCTCGGGTTAAGGTGATGTCACGTGGCCCGGGCGACGACCAGCAAGAAGAACAGTTCGAGCGCAAGCAGTGGCAAACTTGTGTGCAAATATGAGAGCGCCCACGATTCTGGCCGGCTTACGCCTGTAACCACCGAATTTCCTGATGACGCTGATGATGTCGAGGAAGATGAAGGGGACTTGCGCGCCAGATGCTCCTCGGCTAAATTGTCAGACAAATTTCACAACGCCACATCAAAAAGCTGTTTGATGCGAAGTTCATCCTTTGCCTACCTAAGGCACAGTTGTGAAGAGTGCATCGTGGATTTCTTGATTTTTGCCAAACGTCTATGATGTCTATTCTAATCTCTAGTAAATATACGACTGGAACAATTGCTCACCGTGTAAGACGTGAACGTGCACAACGGCCGGCGTTGAATCAACTGGAGCACACGTGTATTTACCGGAGTGTTCCGCAGACGCCACCGGGATGAGCAACTTCGAAACCTGTATCCATGGGGACTCAGATCGCGAAGCAGAACCACCAAGTATAGCCCAGGAATTAAACATTGATTGTAGATCGTCGCCTAATCTTGAGCCAGGGCGTTCCATCGTAATATTTACATGTCTCTCATAGTTGACCACCTAAATTTCAATAATGGATAGGTTATAGGTGGAAAATACAAGCGGGTGTTCATAGGCGAACTGTTCGGTAACGCCAATTGACGAGAATCGCTAAGTGGGCAATAGTTTGATCGTATGTGAAACAGACTTGCGTATCTTACCTTATCTTGATGATACCAGAAAATGTGGGTAAGTGGTTGGGGGCAATCGTGAATAACGCAAGTCAACGCGATCGTACTTCCGCTGTTCACGTACAATTCGGGTGCCTCTACAATCGAAGCATGGGGAGCTGAAAATAGAACAGGCTTTTTAGAAATTCGCAGCATAACACGTAAAACCTTGACCCCGTTTGTGTTGCCGTTCGCGCTTTGCTGATTTATAATGTCTGTTTAATATCGTGATCATGCATAGCTTAGTAACTTCGTTGACCACTGCAAGAACTACACAGTGCATTGACAGCTATAGTCAAAGTCTGCCATAGCTTTGACATTTACAGGGGTAGAACTTCTCAAGAAGAAATACGTATTCTAAAAGCCACAACAGACACAGGGGCCGCTAGTTCAGCCTTAAACCAAAATGTAGCTCGAATCTACACATGCGGTGGGCGACCGACTACCAATACTTGCGCCTATGCCCAATGCTAGGCCTTTTCCATCTCCCTGCTGGACCCTCCATCCCCGTTCAAGCCCATCTATTTGAAAACGTCTGAGGATAAAGGGTTTTTGTCCTGCAACAACAATAGTGATAAAGGAAGCAGGCACGACCATAGTGAATTCATAGTTTCCTTGAAGCATGATCATGATTCTTGGGATTAGGTCCCTCCGGCTCGTCCTCGTTCTAGTAGAAGCAGCAGCAATAGATTGAATACGCACAGAGCATGTTGTCTTGGAATCTCGTCCCGACCACCATGATCCCAGCGCAACAAAGTGTTTCGTGCCTTAATCTGTATCTCGCGTCTAGACCTTATCCGCCTACTCCTCTGCGTGTGCGCCGACCTGCCTTGATAATAACGATTTGTTGCTGGGAAAACGGCAACAGATCGTAACGTCGACTCTAGTGTTCCCTTCTCCCTTAGACCTATCAGCAGCTGTGCAATACTTGTGGCGGTTTCTCGCCTGGTTCTCAGGGGCCAATTCACACACACGCCGACAGACACGAAGATATAAGCATAAACATATGTAAAATGAGCTGTGATTGGGCTGTTTACTGCTGGTGTCGGGATCATTGCCCGTTTATAAATATTACTCCAAGTCCTCGTCGCGTCCCGGCAGCTAGTATTGCCGCCATCGATGCGACGACGCTCTTCTATTCCCGAAAAAATAAAAACCGTACAATAAAGCACCGATAGTCTCTTCTGCCACAAAACTAAACTCCTATGTCATGTATATATGTTTTCGGGGTTCAGAAAGTATGAAGCGTGTATATATGGAGTCCGTTCTAGATCTGCTCTTTTTCTTGCTATTTCGACAAGACGACGTTTTATCTGGCCCACGCCCGCTGTGAATGTAGGAACCAACGTCTTCAAGTTTATACAAACCAACTGTACAATTTAGACGAATCTAGTTGTGAGGAGAAATTAGTTGAACAAATAGAAGAGTACTTTGACTCACTTATGTATGCAATGCGACAAAATTGTATCTTGATTCATAACCATCTTCAACAAACTGAACTACTGGCCTCTTCCTCTATCAAGAACTGCTCTACCTTTAGATAACAGTCCTGAAAAGTATTCTAGCACGGCATTCGAAATGTATCGGCATCAATTTTAACTCCTATATACGAGTCTTGGATAACTATCATAATTTGCAACAATATCTCGCATATATTTCCTTTTCTTCGCGTTTTTTTGGCATCCTGCTACCACACTTTGCACTGTAACGCGCCCTTTTTGCTTCATCTAAAGAACTGCCTGCAAAAATTACAGATAATTGACCAAATCGCTGTGCTACAGATAAGAGTCTTTCGCTCGAACTGTTTTCTCTGTTTTGTGCCTCGTCTCGGCCCTCTTCTACCATACGTTATACAGGAGTATGAGTGCTATTAGATATCCTCGAAACGCACCTCCCCATCCTTCGGCTCCTCTTTTTGTACGGGAAAATTCTGAAAAAAAAAACGCAGATCTCAGCTTTTCTCCTTGGCTTACGTCGCCTCTGTTTTCAAATAGAATCTCCAAATTGTCTTCTAGCTAGAACGGATGAAAAGAGAAAGAAGGAAGAACAAGAGCTCTGACATACTAGGGCCTGAACACGCCTTAAGTTTTCAGGATAGACTCGGAACAGGCCTCCGGCTGCTTTGTGAGCACATCTAACTAGCAGACTTGGCCGCACGGGTCGAACAACTCCATCATACACGAAGGAGAAAAACCAGCCGCCTTTTCATTGTTCTTCCCTTGTACACCCTTCCCCCCTCGTCCCGAGCCTGTTCTGCAATAGCTCTACGACCGGTCGGATTCCTATGATGATAACCGGACGGATACGACAAAGGCGCGAACAGTCGAACGAGCGAATATATTGCCACCATTTTAGCTATCAACCGCTAAATGTGCAGGCAGAGGCAGGTCTGTCTGGGCGCCAGTCTTGCTTTTTAGACCTAACTAATGCTTTGCCGTACGCTAGCGCCGAGAAGAAATGAGCGGAGCAGCCGATTATCTTTGCCACGGGCATCCCTACTACCGCCGCCGCTAGTGGAGAACGAAAGAGATTGGCGGGGGCGAAGAAAGAGTACTAGGGTTAGAAGGAAAGAGGCAATGGACTTTACTTTATTACGACTGAATGGGAAATGAACAATAGGGCGCGATCGAAAGAACGAAGAAAGGAGTGAGCGAGAGACGAGCGATCCAGAAGGAGAGAGGAGAGTCGAAAAAGAACAGGCTAGAAAGGAGCGAGTTGTCTGCTAGGTGCGCGTCTGTCCGAGGGCGCGTTTGCGGATACGCACGAATTAAGCAGAAAGCAATGCTAAATTATAGACCGCTCGACCAGAAGAAAACCGCCGACCATCCCTCTCTTCCCCTGCCCGTTTCTCTCTATCTTTATCGCTACTTTTCTCGCGTTTTCTGTCTCAGGGAAAGACAAACTCCGCCGACACCCGGCCCCAAATAGGGTGACGGAAGACGAAGACGGCGTATACGGGATTTTCAGACTTGATTGGAAACGCAGTGGCAACAGAAATCGTAGAAGTGGTAACGGACGTAATTCCTCCAAATATGACGCTGCTGCTACTGCTACTGCTCTTCGTCATCGTTGCCGTCGGCTTTCGGTTTTGAGTATTCGAAAAGTAAATAGTGCATTTGCACTATGAATAATATACCGGTGAGCGTATATACGTGTCCCAGATCAGTACTTTTTTTTTTATTAAAGAAGTATTGAATACAAGTTTTTCGGAGTGAGCATAGAACAAATTGTAACATTGGAGTGATAAAATGCAATAAACGAAAAAATCTCGCTAAATAGAAGCTTTTAGAAAGTTCATATGATACTATCTATATTCAAGTTTATACCGATTCATGTTTCAACTTCTAGAATATAAATATTAAACAAAAGCTGTTATTAACGAATACACTATAAATGGTCTTCGTTTTTCATACATACGCCTTTTTCTTTACCGTTTATAGCCACAAAAATGTTAACTTGAAATAATCTGCGCCACTACCCGTACCTTATTTTCTTTGCACATACATCTAACTTGCGTCTCGCCGCCGGCGAACTAGTATATAACCACATAATTATTTATTTCTAGAGCCCAACAAAAAAGCATCCGAGACGAAGACAAACTTTAACAAATCTAGTTCTTTTTAATCTACTCCTCCTTTGTATATAAATACGTGTGCGTATACGATGTAGATATTGCTTTGGGTTCGTACTGCCAGGTATGTTCTTCTGCTTCTCCCAACTGTTTTCCCGCATCGTTTTCTATTTGGAGACGTCGCGTAGAATTACTTTTGTCGTTTACCCCCATGAGCGTTCGTCTGTTTCTACTTCTTTGAACAACGACACCAATACGATGCACCGCCAACTCCTCTACTTACCAAGGACATTAAGAGTGATGTGAGCGCTAATGAGGGGGAGTTGTGTATTAATCTGGCATTCGTATTCGCCGGCGTCCGCCTTTGCCACCCCGCGTATCTGCAACATCCAGTCTTCCGGGTCGTCCGGCAGGCTCCGCTGTAAGCCGTCAGCGTTCAATGTCGCCGTTGGCATGCCAAGGGTTTCGTAGCCGGGCACCGTTCCGCGCAGGACTCGAGCCGAACTGGCCGAAAAGCGATTATCGGTTGTGTACGTGTGCAGGCCCACCGTGAGTATGTGGTAGTCCGATCGCCTAAGCCATGTGACCTGCAGTAGTATATGTAATTACCCGAATTCAAACAAAGAACAAAGGATTAACAAAAACGACATAGCTGAAGGGCCTGTGTTCGTGTTGACAAAATATCGATATCCGGTGTGATGCATAAATCACACGCACGTTATAACGATAAATTTCCTATGTGTCTCGGAGTGCATACTTATTGATATACAAGGAGCTTTGATTCTACTTGGTAATTCCCGCCTATGTCTAAACTGGGTGCATTTTTTGCTCCAGATTGCAACTGGACAATTTTATTCTATAGAACGCTACGGTTAGATGAATTTTCAAGGTTGTCGAATGCCCCAAGAGAAACAGCAGCAGCGAGAATGATCCATTTAATTATTCGCTCCTGTCACAGCGGCTTAAAAAGTAGGCGCTGTAACAAATCAGGCTCCTGGACAATAGCGCCGCCAATAGTCTTAGATTTCTGACTCATAGACTTCACTGTTGTTTTCGAGCGGCCACCGCGTGTCGCACCGCGTCAAGCACTCATAAAAGGACACAATATGCGTTCGACTTGCATGGAAACTTGCGCTATTTTGCCATACTACGCATGGCTGAAGGCATCGAGTGGCGCAAAAGCCACCCAATATAAAGACGCCACCCCCATAATGCTTACTAATATCGATATAGAAGTATATGGTTATTTTTCGAGAGGAAGGAAAACATATCGTAGACATGTAAGGCTGCGGGGAATCATCTGCCCGGGTTTCTCACTACCTATACATCTACATGTATATATAGTAACATTTCGTACTAACCGTTTTTTGCGCCCGACGATGCACGACGCAGTGAAGATAGACGGTTGCGCCGAGCTGTCCCGTAATATTAACCGGTGTTAGGGTACGATTTATCGACGGCTTCTCTTTGGGGTCGTTTTGGCGAAAACTACTGAAGTCATTGAATAAGTTGATATGGTCAACATCGATCGAGTCCACACTTTCGCCAGACATCAGCATTCGAGCAAGTCGATTACGATGTGTGGCATGTCTGCCTGTTACAAAATAGCCGCATAGTTATTATTATTAGAGTCTATAAGCCAATTTACAGCCCCACTATACGGGCAAGCGTTTAGAAATTTCGCTGACATAAATTCACCCGCTTAACTCTATCTCAAGAGTAAAATAAACAGCGAAAATATTAAATTTTCTTAAATAAGTAATAATAAGCATTTATGACATTTTTGTTTCAACTGGCACGGGAATTTTATCGCCTTAACTTTAAAACAGGATAGTGAACTAAGTTGACTAAATTATATAAACATAAAGAGCTCTAACGTGCCCACTTGCTCCGTGCGACTTCTTCAACTTTCGACGTAGGCAATGAAACGTAGAACGAAAACGCCGTGAAGGCACGGGCAACTTTTCGACACAACAAATAACAAAAATGGTGCGTGTTTTTAGTCATGCCAGCTTTGCCATTAAAGGCGTCCTCGGCATCCGCTTTGCGTCGATCCTCGTAGTCTGTAGCCAAATTCTGTATTCATACGCAGTGGCTCCGTTAGTTATTTCAATTCGGTGTCATTCGCATGTCTTCGCCGACAACAGCGCGCGCTGATGGGCTTTCTAACGATGCGTCCGGCCTGCCAATCTTGGGGACACGTGATGGCCTCGTACTGGGAGCCAGCTGTCTACCGAAATACCGCCCGACGGCGACGATATTGGACGTCGAGCTCGAAACACAGAAGCTTTGTAGCGGTCCGGGCGGCGGCGGCAGCAGCAGCACCCTTCATCCACAATGCTTCATTTCCTCATGTAATATTTGTTTCCATATATACACAGTGTTCAAGGGGTGGAATAATATATGAATGATCCGCAACACCTCGCAGTGATACCGCTCGGTAAATAGCTAACAATGATTACGAAACGGCAGGACAGATTGTCAAGGCGTAATCCGTCAGAACGAAAAGTACCTGTTTCCTTGGTTTAATATTGTCACTTAGAAAAAAGTAACGACTAAAAGGAACAGAAACGAAAACAGCGGTAGAGTCGCAAGGGGCTCCTGCTAAAGCAGACGACGTCCGAGTGAGCGACGACCGAATAGGTAGGTCGGCTAGTTGTGTTCCAGTTTCCTTTCGTCCTCAACTACCTGCGAATTTATGTGGCACTAGATGTTCATAGGCGGCCTACATGACCCTTACATTGTAAGTGTCCCAACTACACTATTGTGAGCTAGTTATCGTTTATTAATATTACATTATGATTATCGTTAGTGTTAATAGAACGCCCCAATTATTGTATGTACCATAAAATAATTACGCCTATGTGTGGTTACTAGGTTAAGTTAACCAATTGGGTCTTCTAAAACGATATGAGCGTATAGCGTCCGGTGGCCGGTAGACCTGTCGGTACATGCTACGTATAAGTATTATTAAACTTATTCTGTCCGACCGGCATAACCCACAAGACCACTAGTTACTATTATACTATAATACATGAACAGTTTTTAGCTCCATAAACCTAATTACCCAGCACGAGCACATTCACGTAAACAAACAAAAGCAAACTTTTCGATAAGATTTTTTTACAAGTTTCGTCGTCATAACTTACATCGAGTACACTTAATAGACCATTACAGCGATATAGCGTGGGAGTTAATGTGCTTAACACCTCTGCGTACACAAGGTTACTTTCGTACACAAGGTTTGGCCTCCTGCCTGCCTGCCTGCCTGCCTGGCCAAGGGTGCGGCGCGCCTGCGGCAACGGATGTTTATCGACCACAGATTACGATGAGAGTTTTTGGACGTGTGCTTTGTTCCGTTAACTGTCGCACCCCTACAGTCTACATAGACGACGTTCGCTGAGAGAGCCCCAGAGAAAAATTTTCGCTCATGTCCATTTTGTTTTGCTTCCGCAGTGGCGTTGTAGTGACCTTATCACCGTAACTGCATGACGCTTCCTGTTTGTCTAGGTCGATATTCGCAACGCGGTCTTCCCCTAAACACCCGATTAATTCTTCATCATAATCTTTGTGTCCGAGTTCTGCGTTTTTACGAAACTGTTTGTCTTAGCCAAATAACTTTAGGAACTAGAAAGGGGCTAAAATGTGTTGTAAATCGATGTTAGTTCGAAGAATTACAATCGGTCAACATACTAGGTCTGCTACTGTGAAGAATGAACGCCATCAGAAAAAGCCGTAAGTTTTCTGATATCTAATAATTAGCTGTGCGTGAATCAGTAACGGCCGAGCGAGTCGTGATTACTTAGCTTACCTCAAAATACCCGTTATACGTTTCATTACGTACACTAAATATTGTATTTCTAACGGTGTTTGAACGTTTGGAGTAGCGGCCAAACCTGGAGGTCAGAAAAGTTTACAGACCAACTTACCAAAAAGTGAGCAATTATAACGTCACATTATACGTTAAGTAGAACACATCGCTTGCTTATCCTATTATATGTATCTTTTTCTTTACAACTACAACTAGTATTTAATTGTTGAGGATGAGTGGCTGCCTTTGTCCGATTTGCGAACGCATCTACTTATGCAGAACCGGCGTTTTATCTAATCATACCTTGATTGCTAGCGTTTCATCTACAATTCCTTACGCTGTCATAGGATTCGGAATAAATTGACTAAACTCAACGCAAAAGAACCCCTGATCTTTTGGACCTAAAGAGCTCCGGGGTGCTAATGAGGCTTACAAGCCGGGGATGACTCGGCTGGGAATAGCTAAACTGAATGAATGTGATTATATGGAAGGAATATATGCATGATATTAAAGGACTGTTTTGAGTGGACTACAGATGCTATTAACCGTACCAATGATTTTTATTATTAAGTTTAAACTTAAAGAAACATCAGAAGTAACGCCCTTACCCCGCATTTATGAACATTCATCAATGCCGCCGCTCAAAAAAGATGTGTCAGTACCAAAATGTGTAATAGTCGCACAGCGTTACGCGCATTGTTATCAAACACAGTCAAAAATATTGAACATGTTAAAAACATTAATTTGGTTAATGGCTTCCATTGAACTTAGACACCTTTCTACTGGGTCGCACTCAGAACCCAGACGTGTTGACCCAGCCGAATATTGCAATCTAGGTTTTAGAAGTTGCTATTATAAACTTCCCAGAACGTTTACTCGATCAAATACGCATTATATTGGATCATTATAACCATCACAGTTAGAGTATAAGTGTACCAATTCTGATCGAGTTTCAAGGGTAGTTCTCTTAAGCACAAGAACGCTATAGCACACAGCATGTTACTTAGCCTCCATCGTAGCTTTCCAATCGGCTTCCCAAAGGCTATATATTACAATTGAAATATCTGTGAGACGCATATTATAGACGTAAACAACCCCTCCGCTCGTTTTTTCCTCCTCCTCCTCCTCCTCCTCTTCTTCATTCCTTCTCCATATCTTAAGTGTTTAGCAAAGCGTAATCTTCTTATGCTATAGTCGTCACCCTTGACAACTTCAGAGGATCGATAAGCTTCAAAGCCTACGGTTCTGAGGCTGGTTACTCCGCATTGTTTTGGCATGGCATCATTATCGCGGGTGATTTGATGTCAACCTTGACCTTTTTCCGGGAAGGCTTTATAGCCTCGCTACACCATTACCGCTTTTGGGCTGTTGCTCTTGCGCGTTTGTTCGTTCGGCCCTTATCGATGCCTCGTCTGTCCCTAACTGTTCGTTTGCCCCTGCACTAGAAAAACTTGCTATTACATATATAAGGATTTTTTTTTAAATTCCATTGTAGCAGAGTTGTTATTTGCAAAGTGACGCGAAGGGGTCTACGAATTAACGTGAAACAAGCCAGTGAAAAGACTAACGAATGAGTTTGGTTGAATATGCAGAGTCGTGAAGCCAAGATAGACGCCGACACGCACCTTCAATGAGGTGGAAGTTGTTAAATGCTATGTATTAATAATGGCAATGAATCATATTATGGAAAATCAAGTGCAAGGGTTTTAGTCGCTTTTATAAGATTACGCTCTTTATTGGTTCGTTATAGTATCTAGTAGTAGGATCTAATATTGATATAGCAAAGGGACACGTACGGCGAGCCTTTCCGAGGACCAACTCCGATAGTCGTCCGTTTTACCCAAGTCGATCTTTAGTGAACGATGGTAATTGACTAGGCCAAGGATTGCCCTAAGCGCTGACTATGTAACATTTATTTTATCGGATTCAAGTCTGGGCTTAGGATAGTCGAAAGGTCTTTCGACGAAGGGTTTAAATTTGTAAGTATCATGTAAAACAATCAAGTTTCTCGAACTAAAGTGATATTCCTAGGATACCGACTATTTTCTTGGCGCACGAAGTTGTTTAACATGGCTGGACCGATAGTACATTTACTATTTAACATGGGCCATTTTTTTGTTGGACACTATTGTTGCGTGCACACACGTAAACGAACGGCAGACGAACACAATATTCCTCATGTGACCTAAATACTTCGATGTACTGCAAATGGAACATCAAAATAGGTAACATATAATAGTAATAATGATGACTGGATCAAAGTACGCCAGGCACGATCGTTTTAAGCCAGAGAACACCAAACACAAGGTAACAGTACAGTTGTGATAGGTACGAAATATACGTTTGTGCTTTAGGCCAACGAATAGCTTTTTCCAAATCTCCAATTGATAGACTCTATCTATTTTTAGATTTGCCGGAACTTTGTTACTATTAGTAGTAATATTATCGTTGTCGTTTTGTTAATAATTATGACCACTGAGCAGTGGCTATGGCAGAGTTTGTAGCTATTGCCTAGTACAGTCCAAATGAAGAACCGAATACTCTAACACTATTCCAAGCTACGCGGTTACTGGTATATATGATCGCCGCCAGCAGGAGTAGGTACTTGTTGATGGTAGAGCAGATGCTTTCGATAATTACCTTCATTTGATTAAAAAAAAAAAATTCAAACTTTGATCGCTTCGAACGTTTGGTGGACCATTTGCGCATTGGCTGAGCGTTCTTAACTTCATTTAATTAATAGTATACGTAGCGCAAGAACCGTTATAATCAAGTGGTTTTAA